ATCTGTGAAGGTCAGTTATGACAATCCTGCATATATAAAACATATTTGCAAAAGTAAAAGATCATGTAAATTGCTTTTAGAGATTTTTCCTGATGAATCACATTTCTTCTACAGAACTGCCATACTTGTATAGGAATGGGACGAAGACCTTGCAGAGACTGTGCTGGTGCTGGTAATGTAAGTTTTTTTTCCATAGAAGCCATTGAAACCGTTACTTTAAGACCTTTAGTTCCATAATCTGACAATACGATTTTTCTTGAACCTGTAGAAAGTGTGTTGGGTGTGTAATGGATCTGGTTTCCGCATTGGAGGTGACCAGTGCCACCACTGCCGGGGAAGAGGGAGAGAAAAGTAAGCATTAAGGGGAATTCATGCTTTGCGCATACCCTTGTGTGCTCATAGACACAGATGAGGGTTGCGTGAGCATTCCTATTTATACTTCAAATCTAGGGCCTTTTGTCCACATATGCCCACGGCTTCCAAGCAATGTGACATCTGCCCAGACTCTGCATGGACCTGGGAAGATGATGAAAATAGCATCACTCGACCTTAGTGGTTATGTAGGCATGCAAAGTATGAATAGCCCCTTACCCATAATTTTCTAATAAAATCAATGCATTAAAAAGCAATGTATAAACAGCACTATCTGTGCTTTTTCTAAAACATACTGGTATTTATTAAACATTATTCTGTTACAGTTGCATGCACTGTCATGGGCAAGGATCGAAGCAATGTGACACATGTCATGGAAAACAACAGCTTCTGGTCTACATCAACCTCACTATAAAATGGTACTGTGACCTTATGATTCATCTGTCTAGAATGTCTGACTTAATTAAAACAATGAATAGTCTTTATACTGTTAATTACTGTTTCAAATCTAAATTAATACAGGATATTTTCTTTTTTTTATAAATGCCCTCTTAGGACCAACAATTCTGATGAGTATGTTGTAGAACAGTCAAGTGGCCTGCAGATGAAGAACCTTAGCAAGGTGTCTGGAAAACAGCTTTTCAGAGATGCTCAATATATGGTAAAACACTTCTTCTTACTTTCTCAGGGGTCACAAGATATAAATAGAAGAGCACATGAAAATTGAATAAACGTATTGCCTAGATTCTGGGGTGGAAATTGTTGTCTGATTGTTGCCCCGCCTTCACATTGACCTGTATCTACAGAATCAGGCTTAATGGCTATCTACACAGTAAATGTTTCACTTCTGCTCTTCGCAGCTCACATCATGCTTGCATTACACTTCAAAAGCACCTGAATAGTCTTTTTTAGGTCTATCTTTAGTTTTTAGCCTTTAAGTACAATTACTGAGGAATTTGCCCCGAGCACTTTGAAAACATGGGTGATGATATGGCAGAAGTTACTGGCACAAACATCACCTGTCAATGTGTACAAATGCAGGAAAACAAACTAAGAATTAAGGCTGTTGCTGCTGCTAATGTGGTGCTTTCTTTTTGCAGCCTGTGTACTAGACATGGAGTTGGGCTAGTACTGGTCATATTGTATAATCAAAGGGTCATATGTGTGTCTGTGCCCACACACTAAGTTAAATACTAAAGTGTTTATGATTCTACTTGGTCCATGAAAGACGGAATGGACATACTGTAATTTAAACATGATGGTGAGTCAGCTCTTACTAACATTTTTATGATTACGCTGTGCAGGTATACCCAGTGATGAGCTTCCCAGATCCTGCAGTGGTGCAGGCTGCACAGCGCCTTGTCAGTGAACACCAGAGCAAGTACTCCCAGACGTCACGGGTTCTGCAACAGGTATCTAATATTTTAAGAAAATATAAAAATATTTATTTTGGACTGGCCAATACTTGTGATACAAAGCTAGTGTTGTGTTTTGCTTATATTTGCCTTCTTTGTCTACAGCGTCAAACCATCGAGCTGATTCCCATTACCAAGGTGACCTACAGGTGGAAAGAGAAATTACATATCTATTATGTTTATGGGAATGAGCTTCAGGTTAATGCAGAAGACTACCCTGCTACATGTTGCTGTGCTGTAATGTAATTGGAATGATTATGTTTTTCTTTTACAAGTGACTGTAGATCTAAATACGGTATGTAAGTTTCCCTTGTAACTTAGTTCTACAGATTAGTGTAAAGTTCCTGATGTGGGGGCAATTATGACTTAATTACATTTTACTATTCAATAGAGGGCAGCACGGTGGCACAGTGGTTAGCGCCGTTGCCTCACAGCACGAAGGTTCCGGGTTCGGGCCCCGCCTGGGACCCGCCTGTGGAGTTTGCACGTTCTCCCCGTACTTGCGTGGGTTCTCTCCGGGTACTCCGGCTTCCTCCCACAGTCCAAAGACATGCAGCTTAGGTTGATTGGTGTCTCTAAATTGCCCATAGGAGTGTATGTGCGTGCAACTCTGGTTGTTCGTCTGTGTGTTAGCCCTGCGATGGATTGGCGACCTGTCCAGGGTGTACCCCGCCTTCGCCCGATTGCTGGCCGAGATTGGCTCCGCCCCCCCCCGTGTGACCCCGTTCAGGGACAAGCAGTAGAAAATGAATGAATATTCAATAGAGGCATTTATCCTATAAACTCCCCACAAGTCAGTAAAACTGATGTAGCCTCTTGAATAAGTGATGTACATAGTCAGTTTACCTTTGACTAATCTCTACAATTAAATCAGTTTTATTGTTACAGACCACTTGTACGCATGCACCATAGGAAAAAAATGCTTACTGACAGAATGTAACTAAGTACATTTACCCAGTTATTATACCTAATGACATATTTGAGGTAGCTGGTCTTTACTTGAGTATTTTCTTTTTATACCACTTTGTACTTCTACTCCACTACAATTCACAACAAAATATTGTACATCCCACTCTTTCATTTATTTGACAGGATTATTTACTAGTTAGTAATCACTTTATTTACTAGTTACTTTACATTTTTTAACATACAAAACAGATAAAGAGGCCGTAAAAGACTGTCCCTTATTATATGTTAGTACCCAAAATTACAGACAAGTATATGTGTAATGTTAGTCAGTTATTCAGATGTTAATTGACAATTATTTTAATAGCTAACTTTTTTCCAAGAAAAAAACTGTAACATTTCATGGACCAGGTTTCTCAAGAGGAAGGTTTTGCTTCTTTTCCTTTTAATTATTATAATATGTTTAGTATATGTTAATTTTGAGGTTTGGACTATTGTTGGGAAAATAAGCATTGTTCAGGTGTAATAATTAGCAGATTAACGGGCAATTAACCAACTAGGACAGTAAACTACTAACTACTGCATGAATAATAATTATCTAATGATATTGCAACTCACCTGAATTTCTTTGATATTATCTGGAAGCAGCATTTTTTTAAATTGTCAGTTTAACTCTTTTATGCATGTTTTATGCATCTTTTATGTTTTAATTTTTTGTTAGCAGGCTATTGTATATCAATGTATGTATAGCATGAGTGCATTTTAACCAAATCCCTTTTTAGTCATGGCAACATTCGTTTTTGTGTGTTAATCTGTTGTTAAAGCTATATAATCTTACAAAAGAGGGTTTTAATACTTTGTAGTAATTCAGGCGTTGATTTGAATAATTGTGTTTACATGTAATAATATATTCACGAGAGAATCGAATATATGTGGTGATTCACAATGTTTTGCTATTGAATTGTTTCGTCATTAAAACTGGACTGTCGCTCATAAAATGACGTAAATAACGTGTTTTGCCATAATGATAACAAACCATGAACACAATGCTACAATAAAGGAAATTAAGCTTTAGCTGTGGAGCGGTGATTGATACGTAGATATTTACACAGGAGCGACCAAGTCTGGCAGGATACCTGTAGGCATAAGTCTTGGGGAATCTGGTAAAATCGAAGAATAACTGAACGGAACAACGAGGTAAAGTTAGCATGCTAGCTAGTTAGCACAGTCTGTCTGTAACGCTACCAGCTAACGTTAACGTTAATACATTAGGTTCCTTGGTTATATTTAGGTTCTATTGGGTCGAGTATGATTTGAATTTGACACAGTGAGTCTGGACAGCTCAAGATTAATGTTAATTATTGCACCGAAATTCAAAAGTGACTACTTTAAGGGAGTCGCGTGCGACCTAAGTCAATTGGCTTTCCTGTTTAGCTACAGTCTAGCTAGCCAAACATCGCAACAGGCAGTGTCTGAGTTTGCTGGGAAAACAAGTATTGCCTAACGTTATAGTACATGTAGGAAACGTGCCAAGTGCCGAGGCATATATTAAAGTCCCCATTCAAATCTAACAAGATGCTACAGTATTTTAATCTATATGCTAACTGGAAAATAATAGTCCCGCGTTGGACAGTTGCAGTCCCTGTAGGGTTGCTGCACCTGCACAGCCTGCGATGTTTGTGAAGCGATGGAGCGAATCCGCTTCTTTGCTCTTTGTTCTCTCAACCTTAGCGAAACATAGTTTTCGGACTCTCGAGTCGGTTTACCTATAGTCATGTTTTATGTTTCAATTGTTTTTTTGTTTGTCACGGCAGGATATTTTGTTACACCTCTCTAGTGTAATAGATGTGTTGGAATGTGACGAAGTACAATTACTCAAGTAATATATTTATATACACATTAGAAGTACTTGGACTTTATCTGAATGTTTTCTTTTCATGCCACTACAATAAATCGACAGTTTCAGTTGCTAGTTACTTAAAAACAAAGTTTTTGCATAAAAACACACAGTTGATAAAACATGGTTCTTTGCTACAAATGTGATTACCCTGTCATTATATATAAGGTGAATGATGAGTTGACTTACTGATTAGGTGACCAACAGAAAATGAAATAGAAATTACTTTGATAGTTGGTTGCATTATTTTTCAAGGTTCCAGGTTCGTATATGTGATGGTATTTAGCTTTTCATTTGAACTGTTTAAATAGTTGAGTACTTTTGCAACATTTTCAGAATGGAATGTTTACTTGTATCTAGCACTGGCATTAAGTAATATAATGGATACTTACTCCTAATCTAGTATTAATAATGAAAAGAATGCATATTAAGTGCATGCCGTCCTAACAGGCAGCACTATGGCATCAGAATCTGCCAGTGTGGACTCCAAGGCAGAGCTGACTGCGTTACTGGAACAGTGGGAGAGGGATCAACAAGGCAGCACACAGGAGCTGGTTGACATCCTCACCAAGTAAGTAACTATATTTCTTGTTTATGTGACATTAATATGAGATGAGGGTGACTCAAAGGTGTTGATATGGTGTATCTTGCAGAATTTCTGAGCTTGTTGAGAAGGAGACAGAAGAGTACCACAAAGCAGACCCCGATCCTTTTGATGATCGACATCCAGGTACGAAAAAGAAAGCAGAACACAAATGAAGACCAGATTACTTGGGTTTGTGCATGTTTTTGATATTTCTTTCTTTGCCACTAGGGAGAGCTGATCCAGAATGCATTTTAGGGCACCTACTCAAGATCCTTTTCAAGAATGATGACTTCATGAACACAGTAAGAATGGGTGGACTGAAGTGAAACTGCTCTTGTACAAAATAAACAGGCACTTAAAGTATCTTAGTCAGAAGGTGATTTTTTTTCTTTTTGATTTCTTTCCTGTTTAGCTGGTGAATAGTTATGTGATGACGAGCAGAGAATTTTCCCTCAACGCAGCAGCTTGTCGCCTACTTCAGAACATCATGCCTGGACTGGAGACCGCTGTGGTTTTTCAAGAAAAAGTAAAACAAACAAAAAAAAAAATTCTAACTTTACTGTGAGATAAGAGCATTTTAGCCTCCCTCTTTTCTTCTCCAAGCAATGTTTCTTTTTTGTAAACTGTTATTGTAGATTGTAATGTCCTTTGTAGTTTTCCATATGCATATGTAACATGCTGTGTTGAGTGTTTTAAAGGTATAGTAATTAATAGAAGTAATTGCAGGCCCTCTAGTGGCAACATTATATATTCATGTTTGGCATGCTGACAGAAATAATGTCGACCATCACAGCAACAAAGAGGAAGTTGCACAAAAAGAGAAGAGTTCTTATTTGGATTCCAGAGAAAGATTTTTTTTTTCTGTTATCCTTTATACTAATGCAGTTTAAAGTGGAGTATGGGCAGAGGATAGAGCCAGAGATGTTTGGGTAGTTTTTAATCACTGAGTCAATGGGACGGACGGACGGACAAACCTATAAAATTTTGATAGAGACGACATCAGTAATTGTCAAAAACCTTTTTATGCCTCTGTGCCAGATATAGCCACGAGAGTTACAAGTTTGTGGGTTATTTGGCCATCTGGCCCATTCATATGAGCACACTATGTCAGGAACGCTTTGAGGACATTTCTTTAAATTTGGCACAAATATCCACTTCGACTCAATCATGAACTGATTGCATTTTGTTGGTCAGAGGTCAAGGTCAAGTACCTCAACCATTTTCGTGAGTTTGACTGGATGGCAGAGGCGTACATACAACCGTGAAGTCATAACTCTAGTTTGTTTGGGAGTCACAGTCCAACTTGTGAATTAGTTACGCTTTGCCCACTATTCTCTCAGTTAATGTGTGGACATACTGTAGTCTCATACAGTAGACACCTGACTCTTTTTTTTTTTAAGGAAGTACGTGTTTTAAAGGCTTTTCTCTAAGGCCACAAACCTATAGCATCCCCACTTTTTATTTAGGCTGGGCTAAATGCACTACTCAACATTTTTCAGTTTTTTTGGGGGGGGTATTTCAATATTCTTCTGTGTTTGGTTTCTCAGGAAGGCATAGTTGAAAAGTTGTTTAAGTGGGCTCAGGAGGCCGAGCAGCCCCTCAGAATCTATGCCACAGGCTTGTTGGCTGGTGCCATGGAGAACCAGGACATTGCAGCCAACTACAGGGAGGAGAACTCAGTTATGGTCAGTATGGAATCCTGCAGTCTCCGGTGTCAATTTTATTTTTGTTAATGACTGTTTATTAATAATAATGAATAATTTGGAAATGCATACTGCATCGTGACAGACACAGTATTAGAACAACTGATAAAGCTGTATTATGTCACCAGTTATCAGAACAAATGGCTCATCATCAGTAGGTGGTGTGAAGTAGCAACTGTACATCAACTTGTTGTTCATGCTTTACCTGGACAGGTGCCATTGATGCTGCATCGGTTGCGTGAGCTTCAGGATAAAGATGCTGAGAGCAAAAGAGAAATCAGACGGCCCAGCCCCAGGAAGACTTTGAGTGAGCCTTTGCTACCTTTGAATGAGGAGACTGTTGATGGTAGCTTTGAAGGGAAGCCCTTCACGCCAGGTCTAAATGGAGCTGAAAGGGAGGGGATGGGACCAGATGAAGATGGTGACATTTCCTTCTCAACTATCGAGTCTGAAAACGAGCCTTCGTTCCGTCTCAACTCCCCACATAAGACTAGCAGCCGTGCCAACTCAGCTGTTAAAACCATGATGAAGCCCATGTCTGCCCCAGGTTCACTGATACACCAAGGCATGTCTGATGGCAGCAGTTACCTAAAAAGGAGGGCAGAGAGGGAGGGTGGCAGGACCTCAAAACAGAGGCTCGCTTTCTCTTTGTCAGAGCCAGAGAGGAATTTCAGTGAGCTTTCCAACAGCAGCTGGTCGGATATGAGCCCTTGGGTGATTGGCAACAACTACCATCTGTACCCTCTGACCCCAGAGATCGAGCAAAGGCTCATCCTGCAGTATCTCACTCCTCTGGGAGAATATCAAGAGGTCGGTTCATTACCATCAGCCTGCACAGTCTATAGTAAGATGTAGAGCTATGACACTTAGTCAATTAATCGGTCAGACATTGACAGTAATCTGCATTCATTAAATTTGTCTGCATTAGTCCAAATTAACCTGCAACTATTTCTATAATCACTTAATCGTTTATTTTTTCCAAACTACTATTCCAAACATTTGATTTTTTTCAGATTCTCAGATGTGAGGATTTGATTATTTTCTTTTTCATGTATAATAGTATAATAGGTATCCAACCTTTTCGGTTTTGCACAGATGGATGATTAAAACAAGCAATTTTAACAAAACTCCTTCAGCTGTGAAATATTATACCAAGTCATTTTATCTATTTTCTAATCTACAAAATCATGCATCTGGAAAATAATCAACAAATGATGAAAATAATTTTTTTTTGTAGCAGCGCTGGATGCTTTTTAGCATGTACTGTAGCTGTGCAGCATAAGCACTTGCTTCATAACTTTATACAGCGTATGTTTTCATTGTTTTGACACAGAGTTACCATTAGATGTCAGTATTACTTAATTATGGTCAAAGAAATGATCTTGTACTGACATAAAAACCTTTTACACTTTCTACTGGTCACTTTGTGGTTTTAGTTTATACAGTAAAAGTTTAAAGACTAGAAGACTTTGTTTTGGATGTTGAAGCCTAAATTCATAGTAAAGCATGACATCGTTTATATTTCTTGATGTCCGTCCCTTCTCCTTGTACCTACAGCTTTTGGCAGTGTTCATGCAAATGGGAGCTCGTGAGCTACTCATGCATTATATGGATGTAAAGCAGACCAATGATGTGCAGCTCACCTTTGAAGCTCTCAAGGTAAACACTCTCTCCTCTGGTTGACCCTCCATGGTGTTGAAACACAAGGCCAAGCTCTTTAGGCTTATGGTTATATTTTTCTTTGTCTTCACAGTACTTAGCATCGTTGCTGCTGCACAAGAAGTTTGCTGCAGAGTTTGTGGCTCACGGGGGAGTTCAGAAGTTGCTGGAAATTCCCAGACCATCTATGGCTGCTACTGGAGTATCTCTGTGCCTCTACTATCTTGCCTATAACCAGGATGCCATGGAGAGGGTACAAAACAGGCACACATGATACAAATACACACTGAAATATCAGTAGGATTACAATAACTATGCCAGCAAGGGTTTTTTGTTAGTTTATGTGCATGCAAAAACAAAATAGTTATGTTTTAACTGTTTGTGGCAGTTAAAGCTTGACAGTATATGTATAGTATCATTGTATTGTGCTGTGATGAGATACTGTCTCAAATATTGATAATGGGAATATTATTGTCATGTAGTGAACTTAAAGACTGCTTTACAGTTTAGTGATACAATTATGAACTTGTCTTGGTCATCATAATTACTTTATCTTCTTTCTCAATTACTTTTGTTTGTATATTGGTAGAATTCTGTAGTGAACAAAATAATATATTAATTCACAAAATCATGTTTACATTAAAATCCAGGTACGTATTTGCATAAATATATCACCAAGCTCGATTTGCAGCAGTTGACATTTTTATTTGTTGCTGTGTTCACTCTTCTGAAGGTCTGCATGTTGCCCCACTCCGTCCTGTCAGATGTGGTTGGCTACACGCTGTGGTTGCTGGAATGTTCACATGCATCAGGCTGCTGCCACGCCACCATGTTCTTCTCCATCTCCTTTTCTTTCCGTGCTGTCCTAGAGCTTTTTGACAAGCAGGATGGGCTCCGACGTCTCGTCAATCTGGTAGGACAAAGCAGCAGTTTCTCACATGTGATCCTCACTGCAACAGCATAAACATAACATCTTTATCATTCATAGAAAATACATTTCAACAACTGTTAAACAGAGCAGTCAATGTAATATCAAAATATATCGTAACAGATGTTGATTGTGTACTAAGGTGTATATATAAACTGACTGTTTCCAGATTAGCACACTGGAGATCCTGAACCCTGAGGACCAGGGAGTGCTGCTGAGTGATGATGAGATTTTCTCCAGCAGACAGACAGCCAAGCACACCTGCATGGCCCTACGCAGATACTTTGATGCCCATCTGGCAATCAAGGTGGAACAGGTGAAGCAATCGCTGCAGCGCACAGAGGGTGGTGCCCCCATTCACTCCCAGCCATACTACAAGGTATACAGAGGGCAAACAAGAACGGAGATTGATATTTCCTAATGTAATTATGTTTATTATGTACGTGATGTGTAGCTGCTATGCTTATTCTTTAGTTGTTAACAAAGTGCAGGAGGTTGTGTTGCTCTAGTGATCAGTTTTGCTCTCATCTCGTTGTGCAGGCGGTCAGCTATAGTCGTGAGCAGGTGGTGGAAATGATGGAGTTTCTGATTGAGTACAGTCCAGTCCGGCTGTACTGGGAACCAGCAGAGGTTTTCCACAAACTATCTTGTGTCCAGCTCCTCCTGCAACTCATTTCCATTGCCTGTGACTGGAGGACCTACTATGGCAGGTATTGACAAAGCAGTTGTTTTCTTAATTATCTAATGCTAGTACATTTTTCTTTTTTTACACATTGAAACAGTTTCCACCTCCAGATATTGAGTGACACAATGATTATTATTTTTCTTTCCCTCCAGGAGCGATACAGTGCGTTATGCCCTCGACATCCTCAGTATCCTCACAGTTGTTCCAAAGACGCAGTTGTTGTTGGCTGAGGCGGTTTCTGTGCTCGATGAGGGAGGATCCACTGTGTCTACTGTCGGTAGGTGTTAGGAGTTAACGTCCAGCTAGCTACACTTTACTTTCTGTTAGAAATTGGATGATATTTTAGCAGTTATCAGGGACTTTTAAAAAGGTCAGCTTAGAATATGCCGGCACTGAATATGCTGGCACTGAAATGTTTTTCATTTTATCTGAAGAAACATGTCTTTGCACCATGTTATCATTAGATGATATCTTGCATAGCATGAGCATTTTTATTGAGTTATATCACTGCTTTTTGGGAATGAAGCACAGTAAAATTAAGAATTATATTTTCCCTCAACACAATGTAATAAAATGCAGTAACTTCACATTTTCATTTTTGTTTGTTTAAGACCTGTGCCCAGCTCTACTGAGACATGTTGAAACTCCAGGTGTTATTTTTCTGCAAGGCTTTTTATTTAATTGTTTCTTCTCTTAGGGATGAGTATAGTCCTGGCAGTAGCAGAGGGAGAGGTATTTGTGAATGATGCAGAGATTCAGAAATCAGCTCTGCAGGTTATCATCAACTGCGTATGTGCTCCAGACAAACGCATGTCCAGCATTGGCAAGTTCATTGCAGGCACCCCCCGTCGCCGGTTACCCCAGCAGACCAAAGCCAGCGAGAGTGTGCTCACTAAGATGTGGAATGTGGTGCAGTCCAACAATGGCATCAAGGTAGAGTTAACTTGTACCAGTGGCCAGTCACCCACAAACTCATACATCCATACTCTGAAGATGCAAGGTTGACGTGCACATCAGGATATTTGGGCTTCACTGTAAGAACATGTAGTTGGAACATTACAGAATTAAAACTTGGGGAGACACAGTGACATGCTGATTTACAGGTGGTAAGAAAAAATAAGTTGTCAGTGCAACATCAGCTTTGCACTTTCATAACAAAACGAGGTCTTCAGCTTACATAGATTTAAACACTCAGTTGCCATTTTATTATGTACATTTACCTAAAACTAATGCAGTGCAAAATAAAAAAAGACACAAACATAAGAACAACAAATATTATGTTTGCTGGATAGATGTAGCAAAACAAAAGTTTATTATCAAAGCTGAATCTTTGTATAAAACTGGACTAGGCAGAGTCCACTTTGTCACTAATGTTGGCAAGTTGAGTTGTGTACTGGGATTGTACACACAAACACTGAAACATGCCCTCAGTTGTGTCAGCCATTGTTTTGAACTTGCATCTGTTCTGTAGGTGCTGCTGTCCTTGCTGACAGTGAAGATGCCCATTACAGATGCAGATCAGATCCGAGCTCTGACCTGTAAGGCTCTGGTGGGTCTGTCTCGATCCAGCTCTGTCAGACAGATCATCAGCAAGCTGCCTTTGTTTAGCAGTGGACACATCCAGCAGCTTATGAAGGAGCCTGTGCTCCAGGACAAACGCAGCGAACATGTCAAGTTCTGTAAGTTTGCAGCCGAGTTGATAGAAAGGGTTTCTGGGAAACCACTGCTGATCGGTACGGACGTGTCTCTGGCATGGCTCCAGAGGGCCAGTGTGGTCGCACAGTCTAGGATCACCTTCCCAGAGAAAGAGCTGCTATTGCTTATTAGGAACCACCTTGTGGCCAAAGGCCTTCATGACACAGCCACCACACTCACCAAGGAGGCAGATCTCCCGATGTCATGTCTGTCTCACTCCTCACATTCAGCTTCTGCTTTCCCTCCTGTCGCTCCTCCTCCACCTGCCTCTCCTGTTGCTATTCTCCCCCGCACACCACGGTTGGCCAATGGTGTTGGGTCGAGACTCGGAAACCATCCTTCTCATTCATCCACTCCAGGATCAAGCCACCCGCAAACCCGTACCTCTGCATCACAACCCACTGGGTCTGGTTCTGCTGCTTTCCCCTCAACATCTGTCCCCCACTGTAGCAATGGCTCCCCGCTGATTGGTCGAATTGTTTTCTCTCGCGAGCGACAAATGGGGTGTGGTACAGTGAGCTGCAAGAAACCCCGGGTGCTGAGGCAGAAGTCTGACCATGGCGCCTTCAGCCAAAGTCCAGCAATGAAGAAGCAGTTTGACAGGCACCTGCCCTCACCCCCAGCATTAGACAGCATTATTACAGAGTATCTGAGGGAACAGCATGCACGATGCAAAAACCCTGTTGCAACATGCCCACCTTTCTCTCTTTTCACCCCCCATCAATGCCCTGAGCCCAAACAGAGACGCCAAGCACCCATCAACTTTACATCCCGACACGCAAGGAGGGTCATATATCCTAAATATGGAGGAGTAGATGGAGGATGCTTTGACAGGCATCTCATCTTCGGCCGGTATGTTTCCAACTCTCCATGGGCTTTGTTAGATTCATGTTTCCTTTGTTTAATACAGAATGTGACTTTACTGTTTTCCACAACCATTTCCTCTATATTAATGTTTTTGTTTTTGCTCAGGTTTCGTCCCATCTCCGTGTTTAGAGAGGCCGATGAGGATGAAAGTGGATTCATGTGTTGTGCCTTCTCGGCTCGCGAGCGGTTTCTAATGCTCGGGACGTGCACAGGGCAGCTCAAACTCTACAATGTATTTACAGGCCAGGAGGAAGCCAGCTACAGCTGTCACAGTTCAGCCATCACTCACCTGGAGCCCTCACGGGTCAGTACAGAGTTACTAATATTGCAGCAATTTAAAAGTTTCTGTAGTTGTTGATGCATGTAAACGTACTTGTCCTCCAACATGTTAGACATTTACATATAGTCCCCCTCCACTTGAAAATGTGCTTTGCTAATTGTTACACTACCTGGATGTTTGACCATCACTCTAAATCAATGTATGAGTTTATATTCACATTCACTTGATGAAGGGGGAATGTTTTTTGCTCTCAAGTTTAGAAGCCAGTCACGGTCCAATATGCAACTTACACAAGTTTGAGGGGGAAACACACATTGAAACTGGACTTTTCAGCAAAACAAGGCATCCAGTACTTTTAAAATAAAAAATAAAAAAAATTTCATATTGATAAATTATTGACTTTTTTCAATAAGTGAAAAGGAGTAACAAATGTCTTTTGGCTACCTTATCACAGACAAACTATTATTCCAGGCAGAGATTGTTTATTTCTTTTTAAAACATGCCTTGAGGGGATCTTTAACAATTCAATTTTGTTGTATTTTTAGGATGGCTCTCTGCTCTTAACTTCAGCCTCTTGGAGTTACCCCGTGTCTGCACTATGGGGCATGAAATCAGTGTTTATCATGAAGTAAGTAATATTTGCACAAGCGACTGAAGTCATATTTTTACCAGCTGCATATAAAATGCATTTTCTTAAATAATAATCTCTGATACTGAATCATCATGAGATGCAAAATTGCCAGAAATCATATACATTAGAACATATTTGCTGCCTGAGCAAGAGACGACCTTTCGCCACTTCAGTTACTGACCATGTCTGCCTGTTATGTGTAGTCTTCTCTGCCCAGTGGTACAGCTTTATGCTGCCAAAAGGAGACGACATGCTGTTTAATTATGCAGGCTCGAGTGTTCAGTTCATGGAACACAAGCACTCGGCTTCATTCATCCATGCATGTGCACGCGTTAACCAAGGCAACGCTGGGACTCTGCCAATTGATGTAGAGTTGTTCTGCAACATATTTTAGCAATTATGAAGTACTCAGCCTTTATACTCGCACTCATTTGATTACACGCTTTTGATTAAATGTTGCAATGTTGGTCTTGTTGTCTTCAGACATTCCTTTTTGGGTGACCATTATGTGGAGTTCAGTAAGCTTTCACAAGATCATGTCATTGGGACTAAGGAACATATAGCACGTGTACGTATATCAGCGTTTTTTGAACATTACTATATAAAATATTAAATATGGAAAAATACAAAGTAAAATCGTAAGAGCTCAAATTCAGTGCTGCTTTCTACAGATATACGACATCCAGACGGGACAGGTGACTCTGACTCTCAACAACCCAGACCTGGCGAACAACTACAAGAGGAACTGTGCCACCTTCAACCCCACAGATGACCTTGTGCTGAACGACGGCGTGCTGTGGGATGTGCGCACGGCTCAGGCCATCCACAAGTTTGACAAGTTCAACATGAACATCAGTGGTGTGTTTCATCCCAATAGCCTGGAGGTCATCATAAACACAGAAATTGTATCCTTGAGACTTGACTGCTTGAGGTTATAAGAATACAATAAAGTAGGTGTTGGTGTTAGTTTGTTTTGTTGATGGCAAGACCTCTTGCCATCTTGCTATCTTTTTATAAAATTTAATATTGGACTAAATAATAGTGGATCATTGCATAAACCTGAACTGGACAACAAATGATTACATCAGTATCTGAATTTATAGTTGCTCCGATAATGGAAACCAGTGATGCTAAACATTAAATATTTCTTGAATGAAAAAAAATTTGTTTCAACTCTGCGGATGGTTTTAATCTCTATATAGTTCAATTCATAGCCGTTTTAATTTATACAAGTGAAGAAGAATGCTATGGACCTTAGCTGGAGTTTCAGTGGGATCTGAGGACCTTCCACCTCCTCCACACTGTTCCCGCCCTGGACCAGTGCAGGATAGTGTTCAACAACAACGGCACCGTCATCTATGGAGGTAAATACAGATGCTACTACATAATAGGGTTTGTAGAGCATTTGGCATCTCCACAGTCAGTGCAAGTGTGTGAAAGGTGCATTTGAGTGGAAGACTGGTAATTACAGAGCAAAGTGAGCATGTGTGTGTGTATATGGAGAGAGGTGTGAACAGAGCCTGAATAGGTATGTGTGTGCGTGGACGTGCTTGATACCTCAGTCACTCTGAGCCATATGGTCAAAGGATCAGTGTTGGGCTGGCAACAGAGAGAACCAGCTGGTTCACGCCACTTCACAGGAAGAGCCACGGGCGTGCCATAGTGGCTTTGCCCATAAAGCCACCATTTGAACCTCTCAAGAGCTAGAACCATAACTAACCAGCCGGCTGTGCAGTTTTTCATTTTCTCTCTCCCACTTTCTGTGGTTTTTTGTTTTTGCAGCAATGTTGCAGGCTGATGATGAAGATGATATGATGGACATGCAGATGAAAAGTCCATTTGGTTCATCGTTCAGGACCTTTAATGCCACGGACTACAAACCGATTGGTAAGACTTCCTGCCCTCACTTCACTTTTAATTGATCTTTCCCACAGTCTTTTGTGATAATTTTGCTTGGAGACTTTTTTTTGTTCCACTATTGAGTATAAACTCCAGGCCATATTTAATTTACAGTTGCACATTTGCTGTTCTTCAGGCACTGTGCTTCAGCCCATTCAATTTGAAATAAAATAACTGATACTAAATTAATATACCTAGTCTTGGGTTTAATTTGACTATGTTAACATTAATGTAGACATAACTGTGTGGGAGGAATAGTCTTTTAACACACGGTGCCCAGAGCTTAGAGCTTCAGACGTAATTGGCCAAATACACATGAAGTCTTGTGGAAAATCCTGTGCAGCCACTGACTGCCTGAAGTCTTGACCCACAGACATCACTAGAACTAGAGGTTGATTTTTGTTTCCTCACTCTGTGTAACTGTTACAGAACTCTGCCAGTTTGTCTTTGGTTTTGTGAACTGAAATCTGGCCCTTGTGTTTTTGATTCTCACTTGTACAGGCACTTATTTCACACATATTGTTCATTATTCATTTCTCTATTCTTGTAAACCTACTCAAATTAAAGCATTTCTATATTCTTGTAAACCTACTCAAATTAAAGCAGACACTTTAGACTTTAATGTAGAATTGATTATTTTATTTCAAATTGAATATGCTGGAGCACCAGAGCCTCAAAGACAACCTGGGTGTAACTGTCCAAATACTTACTCAGTTGCTAAACAGTTCTTTATTACTCTAATATTTCTTTGCCTTCCTTTCAGCTACTATCGACGTGAAGAGGAATATATTTGACCTTTGTACAGATACAAAAGACTGCTACTTAGCTGTGATTGAGGTAAATCCTTGTTGTCACGTGACTTTAGAATCGAATCATTTTGGCTAAAGGTTGTGATCATTTCTGTATGTGTAAATATGAAAGAATAACTTTTCTTGTCCTGCTGTATCTGTCCCATAGAACCAAGACTCTGTCAACAATGACACGGTGTGCAGGCTGTATGAAGTTGGTCGGCAGAGACTTGCAGAGGAAGAGGAGGATGAGGACGATCAGGTTCGAACTTGCTTTTATTTTTGAAAATCAGTGTCTTTATTGTTCCTTTAAGCAGACACATAAATCAGTTATAACTGACCCTTTTTTGTCACCTGTGCACTAGGAGGATGACGATCAGGAGGAAGATGATGACGACGATGAGGACTCAGATGATGATGTTGATACAGATCCTCTTATCACCGAGCTAGAGAACGAGAACGGCGGAGAGGATGAGGATGATGAAGAGGAGGACGATGGAAATGATGAATTCTCTCCCTCTGATGAAGAGGTAGCACGTCTTCTTGAAGAGGATGCTGATGCTGGAGATGATGATGATGATGAGGATGACAATGACGAAGATGACTCTGATAATGACGATGTTGATCTGGATGGTGACAACGGTGAGTAGTGATTCAAGTGAACTATGTGTAGGTCGTCCATGGGTTGTTATAAAATCTTAAAGTCGTTGAACTATATGTAGTCAAAGCTTTAAAATGGTTTTAATGTCATACTTTTGACGAGCACAGTGTGGATTACAGTAACACCAGAAACAGCAATGCAGCAACACATAAAACGAGATTCTGTTGCAAAAGTGCATGATTGAGGTTTCCAATCACGCCTACCTTAAGGAAGTATAATCATATGATCAGCGCGCAACCAAGTATATGAATAGTGATAATATTTTAAACTCTGCTCAGGTTGCCTGTATTTCAAAGTAAGTACAAAGTAAGATCGTCATCCATGATGAACAAATTAGTCATTTGTCTGCATCCAAAGAATCAAATTAGTTGCATGAGAGTTTACAGGATCACTATAGCCTGATAAGACCACGTTAGCCTGGATTAGTTAAGAAACATTTGCAGAACGTGGTCCTGATCTGCAGTCTTAGATACAATGGTACAAGGCAGATGTTTGGTCCAGTTTTTATGCTTGTATAATCACTGTGAGCATAACTCGTCTCTCCCTGTGGAATTTAAAAACTGCTATTGCAGTGTGTTTCAGATGTTGAGAGGATGACTAACAGAGGAAGCATGAATTTAAGAGAAAAAAATGGATGCAGTTTTGCCAGATTTACTTATCCAGTGACCTCTGCAGCGCTGAGTCTGTACAGCCACATCTAAATCTGTACTTGTCTATCACACAAACAGACAGCTCTGACATCTCTGACCTCGAGGATGACATCATCTTATCCCTGAATGAGTGAGGAGCCATGGGCATGTGGGACGGAGCAGCTAGACAACATGTCAAGACTTCTGCGTCTTAGAGATTTGAGCTGCCAAACAGGAGGCAAGAGAAGAGGATGATATCAGCAGATAAGGTGGGAGACAAGAGAGCACTGCCAGTTTGAAACAGTCGTCGTCTGCACACTTTGGAGCTCTATGACAGGACCAAGGAAAAAATCTGATAGAGATGGAAGAAAACAAAGTGATTGTATATGATATAGTTTTATAAAACAAGTGAGTTTGTTGATTGAAAATGCCAGTGTGCAGATGAAGCGAAGAAAGGTTTTATATTTTATCACATTAAGGGCTCTTTATATGAGCCTCTTCATTTGATATTGATTCGCTCACTTTGTAAGCCTTTTGTTTGGTCACAGATTAGTCTTTGTAGGACTGTGGATCTGCATTTGTGTGGCAGAAGATGCAGTGCTCTCAAGTTTGTATTCCGCCAGACCACCTGGAATAATCACCAAAAAAGTACTAAAGTGTTAATTTAGGCAGCTAATATATTGCACAGACATGTTGCTGATAGTTCATCAAGCCTCAAACCCACCTTCAGGTTTTATTTTCATCATAAACTGATGACCAAAGTGCCACATACACAGCAGGGCCATCTGTGAACATCACCTCCTGATTTCATTGTATAAATACAGAATTAAATCAGCTTGGTGCTGTTGAATACCTAATGTGGACACTGTCACAAAGCTATTGATACACCCGTTCATTGTAAGCACTTGACAGACATACAGAGGCCTATACAGCTCTTTACCTTTGTGTTATTTCACATATTTTCACATTTATTGAGCCACACAGTCATTTGGGTCAAGTGGGCATTTCTTAAAAAGACTGCAGGGCTTGTGCTGTTGGTAACAGCATAGCTCCAGATGAAACTTTACATTAGATTACTGAGGATTTATCACAGTGTCTTTGGTCCAGGACTGATAACATAGTAAAACTCATCAATTGGAATACATGAAAAATAATTTTTGAAAAAGCTTAGAAGCATTGGAAATAGAAGATGAAACCAAATGTAGTAAAATACTTTTTTCAGATGTGTTCTCTCATAGATAAGAAGCTTCAATTTCTGAAGATTGTGAAAACAGATGCCTAGCACTTGCACACTTTTTGAAAGCAGTGCAAACATTTCATGACTTTTCTCATGTTTTTGCTTTGTATCTGTTCATTTTATGTTTTCTTTTCCATAAGGAGACTTTTATGTTGTTTCTTTAGACAATTTATGTACAGCTTGTATGTATCTAAAGTATTTTTACTATAAATAAAGCTTCAAAATGTGTTTTGTGTGTTTCTTTATTGAAGTGTGATTATGATGCTTGCAGGCAGTGGACAGGTGTTTCTGTGGCTTTTAAAAGGGAGGCGTAGTAAAGGAATGTTGAAACTGGTGCCATTTTCGAGACAAATTTGATCATTATATTGTTCCCTTTAAACAACAAGCTCCTGAAGGCAACCTTGAAGGAAATTTTTTCAACTTCAGGGAATTAGCCTTTAATTTGATACAGCACACGTGCTCTGTGCTGACGGTCTCGTATAGCGCTACAGCAGTTAGTTGAGTAATAGATGAAGTCAGAAAATGAATCAACTAATTAGATGATAATCTTAGGCATGTTTAAAACTTTTTTTTTTGCTGGTTCCTGTTTTCAGTATGATGCTTTGTTTTATGTTAATTTGTTAGTCACTTCCAGGCTGGACTACTGTAACACTGTACAATCACAATGTCCTAATAATTCTCTAAAAAGCCTCCAGTTAATCCAAAATGCTGCAGCCAGAGTACTGACAGGAACTAGCAAGAGAGATCATATTTCTCCCATATTAGCTTCTCTCCACTGGCTCCCTGTAAAATCTAGAATAGAATTTCAAATTCTCATCCTAACAAACAAAGTCTTCAATGACAAGGCTCCAGAGCCTTTAGCTATCAAGCTCCACTCCAGAGTCAAATTCCTCGTGTGTCTGACACACCTGGCTAATAAAGCTGATTCTGATTCCAATGGAACCAGGTCGTAGTCTTGGTTCAGGAGGCAGACACCCTCTCTACCTTTAAGATTAGACTTAAGACGTTCCTTTTTGATAAAGCTTATAGTTAGGGCTGGATCAGGTGACCCTGAGCCTTCCCTTACTTGTGCTGCTATAGGGCCTAGGCTGCAGGGGTGGGCATGATGCTCTGAGCCCCTCTCCTCTCTCTCCATGCATCTATATGCCACCGTTAAATGTCACTAACTGTGTTTCTTCTCTCCCGTAGTGTGTCCTCTTTCTCTCCCTGTACCTTTCTGCAGGTAGCCCTGGCTCTGGCATCAAATTTAAATTGAGCACATAAAAAAATAATCTGTTTCAATATTTGATATGTTGACTTTGTACTATTTTTAGCTAAATGTAGGTTTCCAATGTTTTGCAAATCGGTACATTCAGTTTTTATTTACATTTTACGGAGCCTCCCAGCTTTTTTGGAAGTGGTATTGTACAGTTCCTCAGACAAGCTGCCAGGGCTGACCAACCAACTGGTAAATGCTGAACTGGAATTAATCTCAAGGGCATTAAAACCCGAAAGACTCATCCCATCCATCCATTAATTATCTATACCACTTATCCTGAAGGGGGGGCTGGAGCTAATCCTAGGTGACATTGGGTGAGAGGCAGGGTACACCCTGGACAAGTCACCAGTCCATCACAGGGTTGACACTTAGAGACAGCCAACCACACTCAATCGTACTGGCAATTCAGAGTCACCAGTCAACCTAAGCTGCATGTCTTTGAGCTGTGGGAGGAAGCTGGAGTACCTGGAGAGAACCCACACAGGCACAGGGAGAACATGTAAAGAAAGACACCAGGTCAGCCAGGGCTTAAACCTAGAACTTTCTTGCTGTGCGGCAACAGCACTAACCACTTCATGACCATGCCACCTCAAGGCTCATCCCATTGGATGAATTTAAAATTTTCAAATATTATGTGCACGTCCCTGTCTTTGTCTGCTTCTGTATAACAGGCTCTTGTCTTGTGCTTTTTATTCTATTCTTCTGTAACACTCAAGATCACTTTGCCACAGAAATTTTGATCTCAGTGTGACTACCGGATTATTATAAAGGTTAAAGGTTGGGGGTGGCTGTGGCTTACGAGGTAGGGCAGTCGTCTTCTAACCAGCAAGTTGGTGGTTCGACTCCCGGTCTCCCCGCATGCCTAAGTGTCCCTGAGCAAGACACTGAACCCCAAATTGCTCCCGGTGGTTCGACTGGCGCCAGTGTGCGGCAGCCTCTCGTCATCGGTGTTGTCTTGTGCTTTTTATTCTATTCTTCCGTAACACTCAAGATCACTTTGCCACAGAAATTTTGATCTCAGTGTGACTACCGGATTATTATAAAGGTTATACAGATATGTTAATTCTGTTAAAGCTGTGCCTCACGACTAATATGCTTATCAGTAAAGTAATCTTTGGTAAATTATGATGATGTCCACTGAGATAAGATCACAGTGGCTAAGTGGAAGACATTATGCAGGAAATGGAGCTAAAAGACAACCTGCAAAGGGAAGTCTTATTTGCTTTAAATTTGCAAAGTATCTCTATTGCTGTATATATATGCTCTGTATACTGTATATTTGTAGCATGTGAGTAATAACATCTTTATGATTGTAATATCTCAAAGAGTTTATTTGCCTTACATTGCCACAAAGTGACTCTGCTCAGCTCTCTTGATGACTGAATTGTGCGTGCAGGGATTTGCCATTGAATTTTCCTGTGTCCTCCTCCGCAGTTAATAATAGAACACATGAAAATAGTCACCAGAGCCATGTTAACACAGATCAAATAAGTCTCCTAAAGTGTATGTGTGTGCACGCACATCTGCAAAGGCACATGTGTATCCATCCACTGATTATTTGCACAAAGAACAGTTAGTGCATGCAACTTGTGATCTATAGGAGGGTGAAGAAATAAGAATGTGTTTGTGGAAAGGCAGGTGATGGATGAGCTGGTAGGCCATGCTTCTTATTACCTCCTCAGCTGGCTTTTATTGTCTGCTGGCTTTGGAAGAAACAGATAGCAGCTCCCACTATATTAGGCAATCCATGTTTGCAGTGGACCAGTATCTCATCCTCACAATGCTGCTGCATCAGAGCAGGCGCTAAATGTAGCCACAGCACTTTAAAAGTGAAATATTGCCAGAAATATGATGTGTGTGAGGCCCTTTTCCCATATTTTATCATTTGAAATGTCCTTTGTGCCAGGTTTTTATCATTTACATTCAGTCACAGAAGCTTACAACTTGTTACATTTGCTGTATTCTTAAATGTTTATTAGCTGCAAAGTGTCTTTATCCCCCACACTCCTCCATCTTTATGTTTGTGATTGGAACACCGCCCACAATGTTCCACTTGAAGTAATAGACAGATGGGAGTCAGTCACAGCGTCGCTATGATGGAGAGAAATTACTCTGTTGAATACTGCCCTACCTCCCACACTAGAAACTCAGTGGACACTCAGTATTCACCAAATCACTCAATTTTCCTACTCATGATTGCCTAGGACAAGACAACCTAATGCATCGGGCAGTGAGTGAGATGATGTATGACAAAGATTTTTGGCATAAATACTGTAAACCCATTTGGTTTAAAGAATCAGCTTTTAAAAGTGTGTTGTTTTCCCACATCATGATAATTCTGAAATGTTTAAATCAAAGTCTGAGCACAACAGCGTAGCAGGGGAACATTTCTATGGTAAAACATTACTAGTGTTCCTGAAATGTTCATAAGCACGAGGCTGTGCTGACTGAGTATGTTCTGTGTTGTATTGTGGCCTAACAGGCTTTGCCCTTCATACTGAAATAATTTGGTCATATTAGTGGATTTCCATAGACTCTAACTCGACAAGTTTTAGAATTCACTGGGAAGTAATATGCAGTTATCATCATTACCTCCCAGACTATTTTAACAGCAGTGATTCACTTCATGATAAACTTGTGTGTCGTAAGTCTACATATTGGTATTTTGTGCTCAAGTTTCAACTAAATTAATTAATCACCCATTAACATCAGTGTACAGGCAAACTGTTTGGTAAAATCTGTACACTCTTGAGAGTTTTGATTGCAGGGGTTCGTAAAACCACTGCGAACATCGAAGTCATGTCCTTTATTTTTCTCACAGTTATGGTTTTAGCATCTTGGTCACTTTCCTTTTTATAGTTAAAAATGCCTGGTGGGGATATGAAATGGAGATTACATTTTTGGAGCACCATATTTAAGTCACATGATTAATAATTACAAACTTCTTCCCCATCAGAATTTTGTTCCTAGCAGGATGGAGACTTTGAACCAGTAAACCATAATGAGTTGAAATAAAATGTACACAACATATAGGCTAATTGAACAAAATAAGCAAAACAACAACAAAACCCCACTTAGTTTGAGGGCTGAAACACTAACAGTTCAGGAACAGTTCAGTTAGATATGCAGGAAATCCTGCTGGAGAATCCAGCAGATGTGGAAAGAAATAAAAATTTAAAAGCCTCAACTCAATTAAAAGTAATGCCCACACCTCTAGTTTACAGCTCATTCATCGATGGCATAAAGTTGTGGTTGAGGATAAATCACAGCTGAATAAATAATGGCAACTGAAATTCCAGATTCCAGTGTTTATTTCATGTGAAAGGCGTCTAAAAATCAGCCACTGGTTGTGTGCTGTAGGTCTAATGGGAAATCCACTCTTGCCAAAGCTATCAGTTATATTCAAGGGGGAAATTGGCCGTTAGGAATGAGTTACGTCTCATCCGCGTGGGAGCATGACTGCACTATGACAAAGCATCGCCAGTAGTGGGTCTGTTTCTATGAAGTGACTCAACCAGGAGGTGCTTCCCCACATGGTATGGCCTGAACGGTAGCACCGGGAGCTACTTTATGGCCAACAGCACACTCGA